GGAGCGAGGTGGCATGCAAAGGCATTGCCGGGGGGGGTGGGGGCGGAGAGTGTCTGAGATCTAAGAGTGGTCTGCTGTGGGGAAGGAATTAGTAGTCTTTAGCTGGGGATCTCTGCTTCTGGGACTGTCCCAGGGAAGGGGGAAGAGTGATTGGTAGCTTTCTCAAGGAGCTGGCAGTAAGGCACACAAGAGGGAGGCAAGTCTGACTGCCCATGGGAAAACTATCTATCTATCTCACATGGGGTTGCTTAACAACATCTATTGATGATGATACCATAGGCATCACGTTTCAGGAGCCCCTTTCCTCCCCAGTGGTCTTAAGCCTCTCTGCTGCAATCAACAGAAGTCAGTTCTTCCCACACTAAAATGCAGTGATTGGAGGGTGTAAAATGACAACTATTTAACAGCTCACGGCAGTTCTGCACAGTGGCGTGGAAGAGGAGATGACTGAGATTTCAGGAACCATAACTACAAGTTGGAATTTAACCAAGATGCTCAAGCAAACCCCTTCCACCTGCTCTTTGTACATGTGTGGAGCATACGACACAGTAAGGCTGGGACTGTCAGCACTATGGCCACACAGAACAAAGAATCCTAGAAATGTGCTTAGGACGAGCTCTGGAGCAGCAGAGGCCCCCATTTTATTTCTTCATCAGCCCACAGAAATTCCATCACTTTGACTTTGCCAAAGACAAAATTCTCCTTGGGCCTTGAAAAGAAAGAGATGTTATGAATAGCTTGGAAAAAGGGCTTCTTGCATGGCAAAAGCAAAGTTTTAAGTACACAGGCAGCCAGAGCCTGTGAACCATTTGACAGAAGTCACTAGGTGGTGCTGTTCAGACAGGAACCTGTTAAGGGGCAAGAGCTGCTACAAGAAGTGACACATGACATCTAGGAAAGGTAATAAGTAGAGGAGAGCAGCCCCTTTCACACATGGGTCAAGGTGGAGTGGGCTATATGAATCATCTTCACATTGCCCTTTTCTAAACAAAAACCTCAGGGCAATGAGAAACCCAGGCAGGTCTGATAGCTGGCAAAGTAAAAAACACACTGATAAGAGCAAGCAGATGTCATGCTGAGCCGATCATTACTTAGCACTTTACTCCCATGAAAGACATTTCCGAAGAGGCACCGGATCAACTTCCAACTCTAAGTGTACTGGCACAGTTGGACAAAAAACCTACAGCCAAAGAACTCAGGAAGGTCATAGACTCTAGCAAGCAGAAAAGCACCAGAGGAGGATGGCATCCCAGCTGAGGCTCTCAAGTGCAGGAAGGCTAGCCTGCTACCTCATCTCCATCAACTCCTAGTGTGCTACTGGAGAAAGGTCAAGTAACACAGGACATGCAAGACGCTAACTTCATCACTCTCTACAAAAACAAAGACACACAAGGGTGGCTGCAACAACCATAGGGGCATCTCTTTCATCAGCACAGGCAAGGCTTTTGCCAGAGTCATCTTGAAATACTTGCAACAACGTGCTGACAGCGTCTCTACCCAGAATCAGAGTGTGGATTCAGAGCAGGGAGGTCAACAGTGGACAGGATATTTTCCTTATGCTAACTGCAAGAAAAATGCAGAAAATAAAATAAGCCACTGTACGTAGCATTTGTTGACCTGACAAAACCCTTTGACACTGTCATCAGAGAGGGTTTGTTCAAGGTCCTGGTAAAGACTGGATGCCCCCCAACATTCTCAGTATGATACGCTCCTTCCGCAAAAGCATGCAGACTGTAGTTCAGTTTGATGGATCAACCTCTGACAGGTTTGAGATGAAGAGTAGTCACCATCTATCAGCCTTGAAAACTCATCTCTGGAGGCAGTGAACAAATTCTGCTACCTCAGAACCACAGTGAGCAACAACATATCACTGGATGAAGAGCTAAATGTGCACATTGGAAAGCCAGCTACCACTTTCAGTAAGCTCTGCAAACAAGTCTGGAACAACACAAAACTCACAATCGAAATTAAAATGCTTGTGTACAACACCTGCATCCTCGGTGTCCTTACGTATAGCAGTGAAACATGGTCGACACATGCATATCAAGAAAAGAAGCAGGATATAAAGGGGTTTGGATTTGACCCAAACCTTTGGGAGGCCTTAGCAGGAGACAGGAAAAAGAGGCACTCCCTTCTCAATTCATAGATTTCATAGACACTAGGGTTGGAAGGGACCTAAGAAGATCGAGTCCAGCCCCCTGCTCCAGGGGCTGGAAGTCAGTTGGGGTCAAAGGAACCCAGCATGATAAATATCCATGCGTCTCTTAACGGAGTCCAGAGTAGGTGCTTGCACCACCTTTGGTGGCAGTCTGTTCCAGGCCTTGGGGGCTCGGACAGTAAAGAAGTTCTTCCTTATGTCCAGCCTGAAACGGTCTTGAAGGAGTGTGACCGTTTGACCTTGTCATCCCTTGGGGCACTCTGGTGAACAGGCATTCCCCCAGATCCTGATGTATGCCCCTTATATACTTATAGGCAGCCACCAGGTTCCCCCTGAGCCTGCACTTTTCCAGGCTGAAGAGTCCCATAGTTCTCAGGCTCTCATCATAAGGCCTGTTTTTCTGCCCTCTGATCATGCACGTGGCTGTCCTCTGCACTCTCTCAAGCTTCTCCACATCATTTTTAAATTGTAGAGCCCAGAATTGAATGCAGTACTCCAGCTGCATCCTCACCAAAGCCGAGCACAGCAGGAGGATGACATTCTGATATTTGCTTGAGAAGTATCTATGGATGCAAGCCAGAGTTTTGCTCGCTTTACCAGCTGCAGCATCACATTGGTGTCTTATACTCATCTTGTGGTCATTTATGACCCCCAAGTCCCTTTCAGCTGTGGTGCTAGCAAGCGTAGCAATGCTGAGCCTATAAGCAAGCTGCAGGTTTTTCTTCCCAAGGTGGAGTACCTTGCATTTTTCGGTGTTGAATGCCATCCAGTTTTTGTCCGCCTATTTTCTGAGCCTGTCAAGGTCAGCCTGGATCACCATGCTGTCCTTGGGTGTGGATGCTTTACCCCAAAGTTTGGTGTCATCGACGAACTTGGCCAGTCCGCTTCTGATACCAATGTCCACATCATTAATGAAGATGTTAAAAAAGTATAAGCCCAAGAACCTTGGGGGACCCCACTGGTCACGACACACCACAATGACTGACTGTCAACTACCACTCTCTGGGTCCAACCTCGGACCCAATTCCCCAGCCATCGGACTGTGATGTACCCAAGGCTGTAGTTGGCCAGTTTTTCTATGAGATGATCATGGGATACCAGATCAAAGGCTTTTTTAAAATCAAGATATATAATGTCTCTTCTCAAGATATATATCTCTTCTCCCTTGTCCAGGTGATATGTCACCTGGTCATAGAAGGAGATGAGATTGGTCAGGCAAGACCTACCCGCAACAAACCCATGCTGGCTCTCTCTCAGGATATTGCCATCAGCCAGTTTGTCAAGAATGGTCTCTGATAATTTTTTCCAAGATCTTCCCCAGAATAGAGGTCAGGCTGATTGATGGGCCTGTAGTTCCCCAGATCTACTTTTCTCCCTTTTTTGAAGGCAGGCACCACATTGGCCTTCTTCCAATCTTCGGGCACTTCACCTGGGTGCCACAAGTTCTTGAAGATCCATGCCAGTAGCTGAACTGTGATGCTTGCCAGCTCCTTAAGTACAATGGGATGTAAACTGCCTGGGCCGGCTGACTTGAAGGTGTCCAGTCTCTCAAGGTGTTCTTTCACATATTCTACGTTGATGAAGAGTAACAATTCTCCCTCACCCTGGCCGTCCTGTACCATATTGAGCAGGGCCGTCCCTTGGAGCTGGTGAAAAACCAATGCAAAATACCCATTAAGCAGGTTGCAGGGGTTTAGGTTGTAGCCGTGTTGGTCTAAGGACATAGGCAGACAAGGTTCCTTTGGTGAATTTGATATCTTTTATTAGACCAACCCAAATAGTTGGAGAAAAGTTATTAAGCAAGCTTTCGGGTTCAAAAACCCTTCGTCAGGCTAAGGAAGTTTCAGCAGTTGGTGTGTGCTCTTCCTGGATGGAAGCAGGTTGGATTTTTCCTGGGCGTCAGTTGTCCCATATGGTTTAGCAGGGGTCCAATGTTACCCTTGCTTTTCCTCCGGCTCCCCACATATCTAAAAAAGGACTTTTTATTGTCCTTGATACGTGTAGCCAGTTGGAGTTCAGTCACAGCCTTAGCTTTCCTGGTTCGTCCCCTACAGGTCCGGACCAATGCAGAATTAAGCCTTCATCAATATAGAACATGTTAACTCCTTTGAGGTGGATCCAGTTTTCCATCCTTTATAGGTCTTTCTTTGTAGATGCAGGAGGTCCACCAGTTCCCTGCAGAGCTGAGGGGGCTGCTGTGCCCTTTTGCTGCCTTTCCTCTGAGACAGGATAGATGTTGCTTGTGTTTCCAGCAATCATAGAGTCCAACATCATGATGAGAAATGGTCACCCAAATTACAACAGAAACATGACCAAAGGAAATATCCTGTCAGTACAGTAGCCCCTAATGCTATATACACCTGTGACCACTGGCAGGACCTGCAAGTCTAACGTCCATCTTTACAGCCACAAGAGAAAATGCACCACCAGTTAGTAGAATAGCCGCAATATCCACAATCACTTGCTGATGAATGGATGCCATGTATCTATCTGATAGCTTGAAGAAGCTGAGTTGTGGGAGTAACTTCTGGCCTATATAAATTTTGAACACTGGGTAGATATGCACATTTATAGACTAATTAAGATACATACATACATATATATATATATATATATATATAGAGAGAGAGAGAGAGAGAGAGAGAGAGAGAGAGAGAGAAAACAAGTTTTGTGAACCCAAGTTCATTTAATCATACTAACAGATTAGCTACCTCTCAATATCATTTTGACCAAGATTGAAACTGGTCACACCAGTGACCTCCATTCTATTCCTAATGGTCTAGACAGGTTTTTTTTCCAGCTCTAATTTAGACATTAAAGAGTTTTTAATTTGTGGGATTGTCCCAAATTCCAAATGAGTGTTGCACAATTGTTAATACTGATGAGAATGGTAACAATGACCCCTTGGCTCTCTGGGACCAGAGCAGAACATCATCTCTCAGCACTTTCATACTGTACATTCACACAGTGATATGCAGTCCAAACTAGCTCAAGAGCCATGAAACATACATGTGTACCTCAGGGTACTGTGACAGTGCTTTGGAACTGGAGTATACCTAGCTACAGTGTGTAGTTACACGTTGCATGACTGTATGAAAGAAAATGGCTACTGCAAACACTATATCCCCCTTCTAAACACACACACCTAACACTTTCTACAAAGAGTTCCACATCCCAAGCTGAAGGGTCAGGAGCTGTGGTCCAAGTATCCCTGCACAGCTATATAAAGACTACTTTTTTCACTGAGGAATACAGTTGTCTTGGGGGTGGAACTGCAACAGCTCTTGTGCGCCAGTGATCAGACGAGGAAGCAAGCTGTTAACTCAGTCAAATTTATGGTTTGACATTTTACCAGCTACATTCTATCACCAGGTCAACATTCCCCACTTTCCCCCTCCCCACATACCTGTCTCTCACTTATCGTCTCCCATTGCCTCTGATCCTCACTGCCACACATTTGCATTTTCACAGATCTGCATTTTGCATATTGGCTTCTATTCCATCCAAGAGAACACAGAACAACAGCAGACTCTCCCTATGCCCGAGGAAGCATGCTTGTGCCTGAAAGCTTCCAATGAACAATTTTTTAAACTATTTTGTTCAGGGGCAGGCAAAATACATCCTGCCAAGCCATTCTATCCGAACTGTGGGGCCCCTAAAAAATTTAGTAAATTAATATTTATTTGCTCTTGGCTGCCTGTCAAAGATGACATGAGCCAGGGGCAGTAGGACCCATGGGGAGCCAACAGCAAGAGGCCAGCTCCATCCCACCCCCAGCCATTTCCCTGCCCTGCTCCAGCACTACATGGCGGCTGCATCGCTGGACCCGGAGCACAGGCTAAACCGGTACAGGGAGAGGCAGGGACGGGGTGTGTGGACAGAGACAGAGAGAGAATCCAAATGCAGGCAGGAGCAGAGAGAGAGTGTGTGCGCGCGCGCGCACGCACGCACACGCAGGGCAAGTCCTGTATGCACACCCTACCATACACATGCACTCACACACCCCCCTTGCACTGCCATACACGCAGACCCCCACATCCCCTCATACACATCCCACCACAAACCCCATAAGCAACCACACCCCACATATCCACACCCCCTCCCACAGGCTCCCTCACTCCACCCCCCCCCGACACCCCCACACCCCACATACCCACACACTCATGGCCCCCCACAAACCTATACCCACCCCTTCACAATATACAAAAGTAAGACTTCATTAAAAGCTATTATGCAATCACCTCTATGTGCACTGCACAAACGCATGTAAATCAGGACAAAAATATTTTTTTGAACTCAAATTAATTCATGTTGTAGATGTTCGCTTTTTAAAATATAATTTGGTATTTTTCTGGTTCCGAGATGGCAAAACACCTTGCTGAAAAAAGTACTTTCAGGGACAAGGGGAGGGACTTCTGGGTCACAAGACATGGGATGGGGCACCTGTCAAGGGGCAGGGCTACCCATGCCGCCCTTGACAGCTTGCCAAAACTCAGTAAGCAGCCCTCTGGCCGAAATAATTGCCCGCCCCCTATTTAGTTGGTCTAATAAAAGATATCACATTTACCCAAAGAACCTTGTCTGCCTATGTCCTCAGACCAACGTGGCTACAACCGATGCCCTTAAAGTAATGGTGGAATTTAGGCTCCACCAGGTAAATATAGGGGATACATTCATGTGACCAGCTGCTCCATGATTCTAGTTGGTCATTGGTTTAGGGAATACAGCTGTTGGAGGAGTTCTGCTGGAATTCACTGCATCAGGGAAGAGGTCAGTTACCCGTGATTTACTCTCTCCAGATGCCTGTGGAGCAATCATACTCATCCTGGAGCCTGCAAGAAGATCTTTGACTGGTTAACTGCAAAGCTTTCAGTCTGCATATTAACCTGAGCTGATCCAGATTAACACTGAACCAGTCTGCTCCAGTACAAAGCATTCCTGTGCTTGTCCATATAGCATAACCTACTGAATGATCCTACCCTGTTATTGTAATGTGCCACTGGGCTTCATAATCCCAAAGACTGAAAGAAATGGGGAGAGCTGATCTCAAGCAAAACTTGATATTTTTCCATCGCATGGACTGTCCACTTGAGCTAACTGAGGATAAAACAGGAGGCTGCTTGATAAGATGGAACAGGCCTTTGAGACACAGCAGCACAACAGACAGGGTCAGGGAGCAGATGAAACATGAATCAGGCATTCACATGGCTGTGTGTTACGCTAGGTTTAAATTTACACCATTAGCTACTTTTAGAGATGCCTTAGCTCTGGTAAGGGGACACAGCAGCTAGGGACAACTCTGGCTAAAGGAAGCCTCATGGCAAGGGAGAGATTCCTCTTTCTCACTTGGGAAAAGTCAAGGGAAAATTTAGTGCATTTGACTGCTCCTGTTTGAGTTGAGCTCAGCAAATGTGAGCAACCTCCCTCCTGCTGTACTTCTCTCAGGGAACAAAGGAACGTCAGACGCTCCCTTTCTGCAAAGGCTGGGTCCTGCATGTTAGCAAACAATCTATTGCTGGCTTTTTTTAAACGTTCTGCTGTTCTCTCAGTTGTGCCTGTAGAAAGTGCACCTTCTGAGCCCAGCAGCTCAGCCCTTCTGGCAGTGTTGCCCTGGATACTGTGTTCACGTCATTCATAATATTCTGGCTCTGCTGAAAGCTTTAGCATTTTTATCATTCCAGCCTGAAACGCATGAAAAGCAGGAGACAGGCAGAGCAAAGGGACTGAAATTTTATCTGCTAACAGGACAAAGTGGATACGATACTGTTAACTTCAGAAGAAAAGGTAGGAGACTGACGCTACTGCTGTGTCTAACTGTAACAAAGGAACTGTAACCAAAGGGAATACTGGGAGCATTTTGCTGAATGGAAAAGGCAGCACTTGCTTGCAAAGTGACTTTTCTGTTTGGAAATCAAGAGCTGGCACAGACAGGGACCCCTTTTTAACACCCCCACTCACCCACATCAAAATAACTGCGTTGAATTTGGTAACAGCTTTCAAAATTAGTAGCTCTGCTTGCTGTGGCTTGCTTGTGTGGGGACCTATTAGGCGATACTAAGCTATTTCAAATAAGTTATTTGAATGGCACTGCCCTTATGTTGACGCCCAAAAGGTAATGGGCTCAGTCAGCACATTAAAAAAAGTCCCTGGAATTCCTTATACTTTCACTGATATGCTTAGACTGGAACACAATGGGAAGAACCACATGCAGTCCTCCTCTCCGTGAGGTTGTGTGTTGCAAGATGTGATTTAAATATTTTTTCTCTTCTTGAAAAGGCAACTCTTTCCCCCTATCCACATACCACATGCACTGCTGGAGACAGCACAGTGGTTCTTGAACCAATTCTTATCGAAAGGAGTTTGATAGAAGAAAGCCTCCATGGTCAAGACTGTCCACATTCCCCACGATGCACAAAGTTTGCTTTTATTACCACCAAATAACTTGTCATTTTTATCCTCTGGGAGTTTACAAAATTTGGTGAGTCACACCTACAGAATGGCTTACTTTATTGCCCCAGGCTGGAGCTGGTAGCTGCATAGTTTTCTCGTCTTTAACACAATTCTTACTTTGAAAACAACAATTAGTGTCTGCCCCTGCTGTTTATTTGGGAAGGTCTTAAAATATGATATGGGCAATTCAGAAGAGTTTTTCACGCTATTTAGTGTCATTCCCCCTGAATCTTCATATTACTATTACTGAAGCACAAATTAATTTCCATATGATGTTATGAAAACCTGCTGAGTGGTCAGCAGGCAGCACGTGGCCAGTCACTAAAGCAGCTCCATGCTTCAGAAATTCCAGCTTTTATAAAACTTTGCTGTTTCTGCTCCCAGCACTGTTTAACTCTAAAGCCACAAGGGGGGGGGAGAAGAGGGTTTTTACAAGTTGCTTTCCGCTATCATAGAATGACAGAAAATTAGGGTTGGAAGGAACCTCAGGAGGTCATCTAGTTCAACCCCCTGCTCTAAGCAGGCCCCGCCCCAACAAGATCATCCCAGCCAAGGCTTTGTCTAGCCAGATCTTAAAAACCTCCAAAGGTAGAGATTCCACCACCTCTCTAGGTAACCTGTCCCAGTGTTTTATTACCCTCCCATTCAGAAAGCTGTTCCTAATATCTAACCTAAACTTCCCTCGCTGCAACTTGAGACCATTGCTCCTTGTTCTATCATCTGCCATCACTGAGAACAGTAGACTCTAGCTCCATCCTCTTTGAAACCACCCTTCAGGTAGATGAAGGCTGCTAATAAAATCACCTCTCAGTCTTCTCTTCTCCAGACTAAATTAGCCCAGTTCCCTCAGCTTCTCCTCATAAGTCATGTGCCCCAGCCCCCTAACCATTTTTGCTGCCCTCCGCTGGACTCTCTCCAACTTGTCCACATCTTTTCTGTAGTGGGGAACCCAAAACTGGACACAGTATCCAGATGTGGCCTCACTAGTGCCAAGTAGAGGGGAAGAATCATTTCCCTGGATTTGCTGACAGCACTCCTACTAATGGGATACTGGGCTGCATTAGTCTTCTTTGCAACAAGGGCACACTGTTAACTCATATTCAGCTTATTGTCCACTGTAACCTCCAGGTCCTTTTCTGCAGAGCTGCTGCTTAACCAGTCTCCAGCCTGTACCGGTGCATGGGATTGTTCTGTCCTAAGTGCAGGACTTTGCACTTGCCCTTATTAAACCTCATGAGACTCCTTTTGGTCCAGTCCTCCAATTGTCCAGGTCTCTCTGAATCCTAGCCCTACTTTCCAGCATATTTACTACTCCCCTGCGCTTGGTGTTATCTGCAAATTTGTTGAGGGTCCACTCCATCCCATCTTCCAGGTTGTTGATGAAAATATTTAACAAAACCAGGCCCAGGACCGACCCCTGGGGTACTCCACTTGATACCGGCTGCCAACTAGACATTGAGCCATTGACTACTACCCTCTGAGCCTAATGACCCAGCCAATTTTCTATCCACCTTACAGACCATTCATCCCACCCATGCTTCCTCAGCTTGCTTGGAAGAATGTTGTGGGAAACCGTATCAAAAGCCTTGCTAAAATCAAGGTATATCAAATCCACTGCTCTCCCCACATCCACAGAGCCAATCATCTTGTCATAGAAGGCAGTCAGGTTGGTCAGGCATGACTTGCCTTTTGTGAGTCCATGCTGACTGTTCCTAAACACTTTCTTCCCCTCCAAGTGCTTAGAAATGGATTCCTTGAGGACCTGCTCCATGATTTTTCCAGGGACTGAGGTGAGGCTGATCAGTCTACAGTTTTCTGGATCCTCCTTCTTCCCTTTTTTAAGAGATGGGTACCAGTGTTCCCTCTAAACTGTGCGCCACACACAGCCATGCAGGCATGCCTGGCAGTGTGGCATGAGTGTGCCTGCACATGAAACACAGCTTAGAAGAACGCTGATGGGCAGTATATTTGCCCTTTTCCAATCATCTGAGACCTCTTCCAAATGCCACAAGTTGTCCAAGATGATGGCCAGCACCTATGCAATCACACTGGACAACTCCCTCAGCATCCTTGGGTGCATCCCATCCAGCCCCATGGCCTTGTACACATCCACTTTTTCTAAATAGTCCCTATCAGGGCAGTGCTCTAGAATACCAGTGCAGGGCCTGGCCAGTCTCTCCTGCAGAGCTCTTCTTCCATGCTCCTTAAATGAGATAAACAAACCCAAAGCACTGTATGACACCAACATATTCTGTAAAACTGCAAGGTCTTGCCCAGAAGAGCTTACAGATTAAATGATTCACAGCTGCCCAGACACAAGCAGAGCACAGGGCACCCTTGGAGTCTGGAGGATGGAACTGGGGATGAAAAGGAAGATGGCGGGGCCCTGCCCTAGGAACAGGGCCACATGAGAGATGCAATGTGATGATATAGAGGAGGAAGAAGAGATAAGTTTGAGCTGACAGTAGGGAAAAAAAGAGGTTTTGCCCAGAGTAGAGTTAGTTTCCTAGGAGAAGCCATTCTCCCTTTTTCTCTCCCAACTGGGCCAATATGCCCTTCTACCTGTGGAAGGCTGGACACAGTCCCCTCTAGAGTGCCTGCTGAATGGTTTGCACCAGAGAGACTCCTTAGAACCTGGGGGAGCCCAGGCCATGGTGTCATGAGTTTTAATTTCACCACAAATTCGTCAGCCGTTTGCAGTCATGATGCATGTCCTGCTTGGCCCAATGCATATGAATAGATCCATCCAGTCCTGCACTTAGTGAGATCAGCAAGTCAGGCTTGGCAACTCAGTCACCTTTGGAAATAACATTTCCTCAGTAGATCAGGATCAGAATTGCAGCTATGAATGTTGCAGCCTGGCTGGCCCTTCCCAAGGCCATCCCATTCCCCACATGTGGCTAGTCCATCCCTTGCATGCAGTTGGTGGCCCCTGAACTCTTACCTGTTTAGGACTGAAGTCTCCTGCATTATGACTCACAAGAGTGGCTTTTCTTCTGAACTGTGCTGCACATACCATCTCCAGACTGCAAGTGCTCTCCAACCATGCTCCTTGTCCCAAATCGATGTGCCATAGTCCCTGGTGTTCTGTCTTCTTCTAGATGTCCGGTGGGATCTTCTCTCCACTAGAAAACTTCTATGACCTGGACAATGCCAACTGCCACCCACTGGTTTGCTTCTTATGCCATGAGCAGTACGAGCACCCCTGCCTTCTGGATTGCTACCATAACTTCTGTGCCAGCTGTCTGCGAGGCAGGGCAATCGACAGTCGCCTCACCTGCCCTCTCTGTGGGTAAGAGATGCAAAGGAGTGATTAGCACTAACATGGAAACATGCTGATTTACTAGTCGAGCTGTCCCCTCCCTAGGGTAGTGTGGGGGCAAAGTCCTCTGCAGCAGTGCTGCATAGAAATATTACATTAATGTGCTCTGCAGCAGTGCTGCATAGAAATATTACATGTGGAGCATGCTGGCAAAAACACAGAGACGGTTTTATACATGGATGTCTAAGTTAGATCAGCCAGCAAACACTCAACACAGCTGTTGAAGGGTAGGCTTATGCATCTGCTACCCAAGACATCCTAGTGTGAAAGTTAAGCCCAATTAGAAACAGCAGCAGGTCTTTCCTTGTGCTTCAAGGGTTGCAGGCCTGGGGGTGAAAGGGTTCCAAGATGGGGAGCATTTGTGACATTGTTGAATTTGTTTTATGCCTATCTGCCATATGCCCAGAGTCTAGGATGGGAGCTGGGAACAAACTTGAAAGCCGAGTCTGACACCAGATATTCTGGGCTACAGTTTTTTAGTCTGGAAGTCTCTCTCTACTTTGACTCCTGAAGGGTTAATAAGAATCATTCCACGGATGTTACTGAGAACCACTTCAATGGCCAGGGAATCAAATGCCTGTTAGGGTAGCAGGTCTAAGGACAGGACTGGGCTACACCTAAACCACCAATACGATTTCATTCCTTCCTGGTGCTACGTTAGTGCAAGTCTTTGGGTAGACACGTTTTGGCATGAAGGTGCCCTGTTCCGATTGAACCCAAGTTGATTCCTTTGGGACTTAAAAAAAAATACAAGTATCCACATACCATCTTACACTGTGGAAAACCCAAGAACTATGTGCCTTTTTCCAACTAGGTTTAGGGGGGCTTTCTGCATGAGCCTGGAGTGGAGCAGACTCGTGTCTCAAGGGCCACAATAAGAAACCTTTGCTGCCTTGCCACCACTCCAACACTAATACATGTGGAAACAAGAAAGTATTGCGTTCTTATACACAGTCTTAGTGTGTACCACAGTCACCTTCATCAGCTTCTAGCTGTAAATTCCTCAGTTCTCTCCTTGTGGTTAAGCTCTGTGGTAAAACTGGGCGACTGTTTTGTGGTGTGATGTGGCCAGCTCTGTCTAGTGAAGAGGGCCATTTCCATCACTGCGTCACTACCAATAATTTGCACCAGGAATTCAGCTACCATTCCATCCCATACAAATGAAATATCAAAAACTCAGGTACTCAAAAACACATTAGAGGAAGAAGACAGGGATGGAAGATTGAGCACTGGACCTGGAACAGCGCTGTATGCTGGCACTCTCCTGTTTCACTGTGACCAGGCAACCACTGTCACCTCACAGGCATGCACTGACAACAGCACAGTGCTGTGTTCTCCAAAAAAGGAGAGAGAATAGGAGGACAGCTCACTGTCACTTGTTGTAGTAAAAAGGACAACCTGAATTGAGTCGGTAGGGGTTGCCAATGATATTTGAGTCTTTGTGAGGCCAGAGGAGGCAGCTCAGCTCCTCCGTTCTGGAATCTTTGTTTAAAACTATCCATAACGCTGTGGCGGGAGGAGGGGATCTGGGACGCTAGAAATGTGATGGGGCCAGGGAAAGATCTCACCCCGTACCTACCCCCAAAGCATGCAAGCACCTGATTGGGCTTCCCTGGTCACTGCCCCAGCCTATAAATTATGAGGTTGTCCTCACCCCAAGTTTCAGATGAGAATGGCTGCCAAGCCGTTATAGCCCCACAAGAATTCAGGAAAGCTTGTTGGGCTGCCGGGGATGGGGGAGGCACAGTGTCCTCTACAAGCCCCAGAGAGAAGTCTTGGTGCTAGATACAGAGCCACCCTGGTCAGTCAGACTCAGGCCACATGCTGCAAGGCCCCAAGCATTTGTCTCCAATCCTGCACCCAATTAACTCTGAGCATGTCAGTGCTCAGCTCCCAGCAGTACTGAGCCCCAATGAAAGGGTGTGTAGGTACCTCGACTGCTTTTTCCTTAGCATCAGAAAAAAAAAGTCCTGGCACACGAGGCTGAGCTGCAGTCCAGCTCACCTCCCTGACACTTGCTGTGCTTATTTCATTCTCAGGTGGGTTTTTTTAAAAAAATGGTGAAAAAATATCAAATCCTGCACAATAAACTCTTATGAGATTTTTAATTATTATGAAACGTTTTGAATCTTGAAAAAGCTGCTAGCTCTGCCTGTGAATATTTGGCTGTATTCAGGGACCGATCCATTGACAAGTTTCACTCTCTTCTCCAGACTCCTAACTACTAAGGTCATCCGCATGTCAGGAGTTTCCAGGTGCTGTTAAAAGCTGCTTATCCTTGGGCTGTGATGGCATAGTTACCCTGCACAGTCTGCTTGAAATGACTGTACAATTTGAAACCATTGGGGCTTATTTTTAAATGGCAAATAATCCATGATTCTCAATCAGAAGCCCAAGGTCTCCCAAACCTGCCCCAAATCCTCAACAAAACCTTAAAATCTAAAGAAGTCTGAAGTCACAGCAATGGAGTGGTTATATTTTTGGCATAAATCATGCGTATGATGCTGCTTAACACAATTCAAGGTGACAGCTGCTCAGTGCTAGAGAGACCAAGCATGTGTTATTTTTAGGTCTTAATTTCTGGCTATTGTTGGTCACGTGCACCTGAGAGGCTCTGAAGAGGCTGTCCAGATATGAACGAGAAGCCTTAGGTTAGATAAAAAATTAAAGGAGTTTAAAGGTTTTTAAGTTTTTTAATAAAACTGATCTTCAGCAGCTGGAGCCCACATTCATTGTCACCACCAAACTCCCTCCCCACTCCTCTATCTGCCCCAGCAATAGTGAAAGACTAACACTTCTGGACTAGGGAAAGTATTAGTTTTAAGCTCAAGAGCCAAGCAGTCAAATATAAGAAACTGCAGGCCCTCTGTACGTGTGCAGGAAGGAAACATGGGGATCAAGCTCAGCCAGACTCTTCATGGGCCACAGCAGAAAGCTGAAGTCACAAACAGCCACTGATCTAGGGTCCAATGAGGATACCCCAACAGCCCTTCACCCCAGCCTTGGTCCTAGCTAGTGGGGGAAGCACTTTGGGGGAGAAGCATATACTTGTCCAGACCGCCCGTTACATGGGGTGTAAGCAGGGGCCTACTTAATTTGCAGAATTTTTGCAGAAACTGTGAAAAAAAAGGTGTAGTCCACGATCACCAGGAAATATTGCATTGGCTATGGTTTCCCACAAAATCAAGCTAAAAACTCCCGGTGTAATACACTGTTTTAAAATGCCCCAATGTTTACCGCAATGCAAAGACAATGCGACATCACTGCATTGTAACAGAGAGTTACTGTCTGCTAGTGACATAGCCTAAAGTGCTTACAAGGTGGACTTTGTGGTTTAACACAATCCATTACCATGCAAAGAATATCAAGTACTACCAGCAATTTGTGTGTGATGAGCTTGAAATCACACCAGGCACACTTAAATTATGAGTTCTCTTAAAACAGGGTGACATTGACTGCCAAATTGAAAACCAGGCCAGACAAGAACTGGTCCAGGCAACAGCTGCAAAGTTAACTTAGTACTGCAAGTATGATCAGTCACTACCACCTCAAATTAAACAACTGGCTGCTACTTTTTTAGTGTTGATCACATTTTTGACCCAAATCAGGTGCCTTTTCTGTGTTTTGACCCTCAGCTAATTAAATCAATCCCTAGATGACAGAAAGAGCATGACAACAAACGTGCTGCTAACATGAACTTTGTCAAAGAGGTGGCAAGTGCTTTAAATGTAACTGAGTTTTGAGATTTTATTTCCGATTGGTTTCCACATCTCTACAACTTGGCCAAACACTACCTTACAATTCCACCCAATGCAGTGGACACAATGTGCGATCTCAGTGCATAGACAAGTCTTCACAATTCAGAGACAGAGGATGTCAACTGCAATTGCTGACGGATGCTGCATGATCACATTTAGTAACTAAAATGAATTGTTTCTATTAAGGTTAGCATTAATTAGTATTTCTAAACTGTCTGTAGAATACTACATATAATAGTCACTTATGATTATATAAAGTTACAATTCATGTTGAATGTAAATTTATATTTAGAATATATTTTAATTTAGATTTATAATATGATAAATTATATCATTTACTTTCTACAGAATTTGCTATTCACTTATACAGTACACGCCTCTGGCTTCTGAGTGGTGATATTTCTCTTGCTAGGAAGCTGTAGGTGTTCTGCTCTGTCTCATTTTTAAATAGGCCTTTCCCTCAGCCCTCTGCTCTAAGCCAGTATGCTCTCACAGACCATGAGCAGTACGTATACTGCTTGCTGAAGGGGAAAGGGAGGTAATCAGCTTTTGCACAGTCAATAGTAAGCCACAGGACTGGACTAACCTCTTTATTAAGCTGATTCCCTGGGAACTGATTTGATCTATGACAGTGAAGGCAACGACTGCTGTTTAATCAAAAGGCTGGGTTTTGGTTGTAGCCGTGTTGTTTTTAAGGACATAGGCAGGCAAGGTTCTTTGAGAAGATGCAATATCTTTTCTAAGTAGTTAGAAAAAAGTTCTTAGCAAGCTTTTGGGCACGATCACCCTTCTTCAGGCATAGGGAGTCTTTGCTGCTCAGACTCCAAGGAATAAGAGAAGCTAAAAGTGTGATAGGATGTCAGAGAGGATGTAAATAGGTGGAAATTAGGAAAACAAAAGATAAAGCAGGGTAGGAGGGAGAGGGGAAAGCAGAGGCAAAAAAGCTAAAGGTGAGTAAGGGAGACTATAGTGGTGGTAATTCAAGGTAGAAAAGAGACTGTCTATGAAAAAGGAAATGGCTGTAAATTAGGAAGACAAAGGACAGAAAGGGGGGGGGGGGCACAAGAGTATAAATGGTCTGATCTTGCATGTACGTAGTGAATCAGATGGGCATGGGTGCTATGGGGTACTTGCTGCTTTGCTGCCAAGGATTAAGTAGTGGCTCATTAGGGACAGAGAGCTGAGGTCCAGTCATAATGCAGGTGCTGTCAA